TCTCACATATATATATATATATATATATATATATGGACGGTTGCTGGCATGTTCACCGAACGAGGCTGATATTTCATCACCTATGCAGGTGAACCGCAAGCTCTTTGAAGTAGAGCGTAGTGATGACTCAGTGACAGTGAGGGAAACGTTTTGAGCAGTCCTTGTCTAATTTGGGAAACGATCGATTGGGCAATTAAAGAAAAAACGGAAGGCGGATGGAGAAAGAGTGAAGGGAAAGCTTTTATTTGGTTACTGGTGCACAGCAGTCGAGCTCGATTCTGGTGGTTAAACTTCTCGGGTTACGTCGGACTACCCATAAAATTGGTCTTTTATCTCGATAAATTAATGGAGGAAAATTCTGCCAAAAGTCGATACAACGATCAATACAGCGAAATCTCTGGGGTGTAGTAAACAGACCTAGCTGCTTCGTATTCAAAAGGTTTGGTCAAAAATCGGGGGATTTACTGTTGTACAGTGTTTCGCTTTTGAGACGAAAGCCTTGTCAGGACAAACGAACAAGTTACACGGTTGATCGGCCAAAGATCTCTTTCTAACGGCGGTTCAAATAACTGTTATGTATGGGTTAAATCAAGGTAAATCAAGGTAAATCAAGGTTATATTGGTCTATGTTCTCAGTTGCCTGAGAACATCAAAAACGATAGATTCAGCTGGTTTCAGATAGTTTACAAATGAGTGTATATTCGCTATTTTCGTGCAATTTTTTTTCAAGTAGAACATAAAGTTGACGGAAACCCGGGGACTGCGCCTACCTGATGAGCTTCAAAAGGAGCGAAACTGGTCGTGGACTCTCGATGGATTTCAGCAACCTTATGAGTAGTACATTACAGAGGCGCAATGTACATTTTAACACTACAGGGCTTTCGAATTTTCATTGACCGCTAGGGTAAGTAATCCGGAACAGCTTACTGAAGTCTGCTATCTTCGGCTGTCTGAACCGATGGTTTTTGTTTTTGATGGACTTAGGGAAAGCTGATCGTTTATCTGTCGGCAGGTGGCTGTTGTAAAATAGCAAAATGACATGCCACAGTATTGAGCCTTGTGGGATCTCACAACATGGTGGAACGGGATTAGGGTGGATAACATCTACTCGGACGAGGGGGTCATGACATTAAAGGGGAACGTCTTCAGTCCTGCGGTTTCCGAAGGAAGTTTACGTGATCAGCTGTTCATTGAAGGGTTCAGTGAAGTCTAACTAGATAAAACCTACCTCAGGATCAGTTAATATTTCCTCTGTTCACAGTTTTTGTT